TGCATAGAAATGGGTTTGCTGACATGTGTGCCCAACCATGGCAAACATGAGCCATGGGGAAAATAAAATACACAAGGGGCCAGCTCTGCTCTCTGTGCCCAACACTGGAAATGTTGGTGACCTGGGATAGGGACACAGAGGATACAGCTGGTGTGTAACTGCTCACAGCCTACTGGCCTCTGCCAGACATTATTCAGTCCTGTCATTTCTGAAGAACTGAAGGCTCTGAAAGTGTTTTTATTCTGTTCTGAATAAAGTACTCTTATCACTCCTCAATGGCAGACTTTGACCCTAAACATTCCATGATGTTTTCACCCAAGGAAATTGAATGCAAGAGATGGGGAGTTAGGCAGAAGACTCAGAGGCATCTTTCTACTGTGCACCTACACACAGCACTCCAGATAACTGAGGTGCTTTCTCCTAAGTAGTCAGACCTGTTGGGGTGGTTCTGGTGGTTCTGACAACACCTGACTTTGGGCAGCACAGGTGCTGGTTGCAAATGCAGCAGCCTGCTGCTATTGCAAACTGCAGAGTAAGTGAGGTGGAAATGACATCTCCAGTCTCTAGTCCAACCTCCTGCTCCAAGCAGAGCCCTCTAGATCTGGTAGCTTAGGATTGTGAGCAGCAGAATTGTGAACATCTTAAAGAATGTTGTTCCTAAAACCTCTATGTGTTCCTGTTCTGGTATTCCTCATGGGAAAGAAATTTTTGCTGGTATTTAACAAAATTTTTGCATGTATATAAGATCCCTATTTTAACCCATTATTACCTATATGTGGGGTTTTTTGCCTTACTGGTGCATGGCAGAGTCTATAGGCAATGTTTGTCAGAAAACAACAATTTTTCTTTTTTTCCCCTCCTCATGAGCCCAAACTGGTTTTTTTTTAGAGTTAAGAACCTCCTTTTCCTCTTCTGACAACTTTTTTAAAGGATATCCTTCTTTCTCTGTGTAGGAGTGGAAGAAGTCCCCAAAATATCCTCTTTTTGGACTCAGTCACATAGCAACAGGTGGTGCTAGGAGTTTACAGACCCTTATGCCCAGAGTTTAGGAAGTCTTTACGTTGGCTCCGTGGAGATAATTTGCTTATTGCCTTATCTTATTTGATTCTGACATGAATACTATCTAATTCTCCACAGCTAGTCAAGTTTTAAATTTTGGTTATGGTTGCAGATCCCTACATTCTCCTGGAGAAACTGGCTGATCATGGCATGGATGGGTGCACTGTTTGCCATGTAAAAAACTGTCTGGGTGGCACAACCCAGAGAGTGTTGGTGAATGGAGTTACATCCAGCTGGTGGATGGTCACTAGTGGGGCTCCCCAGGACCCAGTGTCGGGGCCAGTCCTGTTTAATGTCTCTATTAATGACCTGACCAAGGGAATTGAGTGCATCCTCTGGGCAGAGGGCAAGCTGATAGTCAGAGAAAGCACCAGAGACACAGTTTGCATTTTGCTTGATTGTCAGGATTTACATTTGGTAACACAGCTTAGTTGGACTTGGCACATTAGGTTTACAGTTGGTGATCTTAAAGGTCTTTTCCAACCTACATGATTCTATGATTCTTAGCAGAGAAACTAAATCATTGCTGTGACCTCCCATTCACAACCTCACATTTCACTTCAGCTCTGTGCATCCAGCTGTATTTATGTCCCCAACCATAGGCCTAGTGAAGGCAGAAACACTGTGGGGCAAGAAAAGCTGTGAATCCCATGTAAATGCAAAGCTGATATTTTGAAAATCAGAGAGAAGCAAGCTACTTGGAGTTTCCCAAAGCTTGCCAGAAGGTGAGAGTGTGCATGCACATAGCTACAGTACAACAGCCCCAGAGCCTCCTACAGAAGCCACTCCTCTTTGACAGATGGTCTTCAGATGAAGAGAGAGGGTTCACTTCAAGTCTCCATTTACAGACATCTGCAAATTGCTGGATATCCAAAATATTTGAAGGGAACTGTCAGATAAGAAAGGACTCCCAGAAAACCCAGACCCTTCCAGAGCAGCAGTTTGGGGCTTGGTACAATATCCCACAAAATTTACAGTGACACCAGATATTCCTAGGCAAGTTAAAGACCTCAGTCCCAGCCCTATTCTCTGCTCCAGAGTGCTTCACAGTAGGATTTTTCGCTGGGGAAGCTGGAACAGACTAGCTTATGTAAGAACAGTTTTAGGTCAACTCCTAATGTCAAGAAGAAATATTCAGAATTGCTTAAAAGGTAAAATTAAACACATGTTCCAGATTCTTGCATGATTTCTCACCAGTTGACTGAAGAAGCACTTAAAAGGGGTTAATTTTTCCTCAGTGTTAAGGTGAGCCATTTTCACAGAGAAAAGTTGGAGTTTTTCTCTGACATTATCTAGCTAAGAATTCCCCAGAAACCTATGCTACTTCTGTAGATGTTTAGAGTTCAAAAATGAAGCAGTTGCTACGTGACCAGCTCAAAAATCACAAAGCTAAGATAGAAGCCAGTGCAATCCTACACATGGCAATGAATGCCACATCTTCATCTCTGAGTCATCTGCCCACAGAATAACGCTTCTACCAAATTGTGTGCTGTGGAGTCTCCTCCAAAAAACCACTTGGATTCAACGATCAGGAAAAAGCAAGTTAGCTTTGCCAAGTAAATGAGATTGACCGAGTATCACTGACACTAATATTATAATACAGTTGAAAGCAAACAGCTCTAACAGAACGTTTATGCATTCAAACGATAATGATGAATAAAAAGCCTTTCCTACACCCCCTACTGAAAACACAAAAGGAGCTTTAAAAGAAAACAAATGCTGCCGCCTAGAGAGCAAGCTGGAAATCCACAAATCCAGGCTCTTCGTACTGACTGTCTCCCACAGGATTCAGACATGGCTTTTCTTGCTCATGATCCTGTGTCACCAGGAGAGACTTCTCTTTTCTTCTAGATAGCAGTGTTACTGAGCAGTTACACCTCCGGAGGAGAAAGCCTGCATACCCTTCAAAGAGTGCCTGAAGCAAGGGGCTGAGCACTTCCCAACTACCACAGCTAAGCTGGGAGCTGGAGCCCAGCTGTCCCAGAAAACATCACACACTGTGCCTGCTGAGCGACAGTATGTGGAGTTCAGGGAACTTTTAAAAACATTTTTCCTAGGCAAATTTAAAAACAATTAAAATTCTACAGGAGGGAGAGTTGAGAATTTAATCAGTTAAAAAAAATTGCTGTTCTTGCAACTCAGCCAGGGGAAAAAAAGCCATTCATCTGCACATTTGATTAGCAAAAGGCAGTAAGACATCTTCTGATCTTCCTTTGATCTATATGGATGGCTGCACATTCTCCTCCCAGTGAGATCAGGGCTGTACTGATCCTGTGAAGCTAGAAAATATCATAAAATCCTAATCAATCAAAATATTGTTCAGTCACCTGAGCTCAGACAGAAAAGAGATCCTTTCTTGATTCACGATCATGCCATTCAGCTGGCATAACTCCTTGTTAGCCTCACACACGAGTAATAAGCCAACAGGAATGCTTGCCATAAGGTTGTTGATGTCTAAAGGTTACAGTAACGTCATTCTATAACACTGAATAATGAATTATGCCATGAATCTGTTATTATTATTTTAATATTATAAGTAATGTTGTGAAGCTGTGCCAGGGGAGGTTTGGGATGGATGTTAGGAAAAGGGCAGTTAGGCACTGAAACAGGTTCCCCAGGAAGCACCAAGACTGTCTGAGTTCAAGAAGTGTTTGGATAATGCTCTCAACATGGTCCTAAATGTATGTACAGTTTTAACTTAAAAAAACCCATTGTACTGAAATTCACCATCTTTTTGAGCTATAAAGCTTCATACACACATAACTGGTGTACACTACTGTTTCAGTTTTGTGGTTTTTTTTTTTTTGCTTCCAGCCCTCCAGTGGTTAATCTTTGCTCAAAGAAAATGAAAGCAGGCATGTGCTGGAAGGTAAGGATAGTTTTGACCCTTTAAAGGAACTGTAAGGCAAAAACATTATTGTTGTTCAAACCTGAAGTCACTGACCTGAGAATGTTCCTCAGGCATGAAATGTGCTGTACATCTCCGCCCGCACTGCTGCTGCCCAGCAAAGCCTGACAAAGCCATGGTCTGGGGCCAGGGAGAGGGCAGGTGCTGCTTGGCTGAGATCAAAGGTAAAAGCCACCTGCGTACTACCAAGCATCCTAGCACAACCCAAACACACTTAATTTCAATCAGCAAGCAAAAAACCTGTTGTTCGGTGGAACAGAAAGAACAAATCCAAGATATGTGCCCATATCCTTGACAAGTACGAGGAAAGGACCAAATCCCAGTTCTTGCTCACCCTCCCTATGGGAAGGCCCACCAGAGCCACTCTGGAGTGCACCCCTTCACAGGAGTCTTGAGCTTTCCAATTTTGCTTTGGTGTTTGCTACAGGAAGTGGCTCTTGGGTGCCAGCCAGGCTGGTGACCTCATGGCCCCACGGAGCAGTGCCCAGAGGAATGGGGACCTAGAGGGCAGTGCATGTCCTCTGCCCATGCCTCCAGCATTCCAAAACAGCTCTTACTTGCAGCAAGAGCAGAGGGTGCCCAGGTCACTGTCCCCCACCAGCAGGACCTGCAGGTGGGGAGCCAGGGGCAGAGGCTTGGCACGTGTCAGGTTGCCATCACCAGTTTGGTAGCCACCACAAGAAACCCAACCCCTTCCAGTGGCTCTCCAGGAGTTGCTGGCACCTGTGGGCTCAGAATATCCCAGAACCAAAGAGCACTGCCACTGACAGAGATGCTGGGGCCTCCCTGATCCCTGGAGGGACTGTGGGAATGGCACTTGGTGCCCACTCACTTCCTTCCTTGGTGCACTCAATCCCTTCTCTGGACAACTGATCTTCTAGTATAGAGTGAGGACATCCCCTTCTTATGACCCATCTTTGGTAAGAAAATACATCAGGGTTCAGATTATAACTGTACTGTGGGTATGTTTACAACCACTGGTTTTAATACAGCAGACAAACTTTAAATATGCAAGTTTGTTTATTAAGACAGGCTACACAGAAGGTACATTTAAGGCATTGTTTCCATTTGGATTGTCTGTGACCTTCTTATTTTCTTGAAAAGCAGCCATCTGTCGTATCAGCAATGTCCCTTTCGGGCAATTTCTATATGCGTATGATCTTCCCTGCAAACAAAAGAAAAGTATATTAGAAGAGGAACAGTACTTGAATTTTACAGACACATTTTATAAAGTGGACTCTCTCGTTTCTTTCTATGCATTTAATTAAATGCAGTGATGCATTAATGGCATCACTTACTGAATGCATCACCACAAAGTAAACATGATGCAAAATTTTATGAAATCAATACACAGAGTAACTTACCACAGGCTTTGTTACCTATAAAAACCTGATTAAACCATCTGCAAATCTGTCACACCACATGACAAATCACACCATGAGGACTAACATGTCCATTACAAAGCACTAACACAAATTAAACTTTGCAGTCTCTGAGGTGCAAACCAGTTCTAACGCTTACAGTATTTCCCGCTTTCACATGGGAATTCAGTGGCAAGGGTGTGCATCCTGATGAACCTCGGCATATGAGGCTTCGCTAAATTTTAAATGTGTGGTTCTCTGAATGCTGGAATCTTCTTTAAGGAAAATTTAGCCAAGTACCCCTTAGTTTGGGAACACTGGTTTGTTTTTCTTGCAAGTCCTCTACACAGTATTTTGGGGTGCTCCATTTACAAATCTCAATTTACCAGGCAAATGCAGACAGAAAAAGAAACAAATAGAATGCAAATTGTCCCAGATAATCAGTTTGTTTCCTTATCTTAACAGAATCAAGCTAGTTTACTCCTCATGAAATTCAAGAGACTTATGTTTACCCAAAAACAGGGTTAATCTGTACTAGTTAGTAATAGTCTTTTCAGGGAGCTTTTAACCAGAAGGTAGTGCCAGAAGGCAGATCAGGAATATGAAAGGCAAAATCAAGGCCAGGGGATGTAAAACACCAGTAAGGATGTAAGGAGTGGTTCTGGCTGAAGGACATGCTCACACTAAACCCTGCAGAGACACCTCAAGCTGCTGCATCTATTTCCAAAGAGCACATCTTGCTGTTGGACTAGGGTTAAACTAAGATCAGATGTTGTCATTGCTACTGGACACTGACTGTGGAAGAGACCTGGGATTTGCATTTGAGCACCCACTTAGAATAGATTAAATCTAAGCTCTAAAAGAAAACAATAAAGTATTGAGAAAAACTAACTTTGGTGTTACAATTAAGGGGCTTCACTGCGGAGCCAGGATGGGGAGGGTTTGTGCTGCACCTTTGCTCCAGGTGTCTCATGTTATCATGGATCAACTGCAGCAACCTCTTCTGCAGCACTCGATTCACACAGGGCTCTCCAGGTGCCCACACAGTCCTTCATGGCTAAAAGAGCTCATGGACAGTACTGTCTTGGCCATCAAGAAGTACAACTCTCTCCAAGAAGTCCCTTCATGGGGTTAAATATGGGCTAGAACAAACGTGCAAGATGGCAGTTGAGAATCACTCCAAGCAAATTGAGAAGTGACTGTTTTGTAATTTAGTACTGGATGTGTCCCTATATCTGTTTCTGTATTACACTATACTATAGTGCAATATAGAAATATAGTGTACTATTACCACATTACACTATTTCAGCAACTAGGCATGCAGCCTGCTAAATAGGACAGAAAAATCTCTCTGTTCTGTCTTCCTAAGAAGTGTGACAGACTGTACCTTAGATTACTTGGAGTGGAATGATCATTGCTTATGACTATGGACTGTTTTTCAAAGCTGAAATTCCTCCAATAAAGCAAAATGTTTTATCCGTGTCATGTTCATGCCAAGTCAAATACTTTGGAAGAACAACTCCAGGCTGAACTAGAAAGCCCCCAAATATGCCAACTACTGAACTATAAAAGAAAAATAATAAGGAGAGTATCTGACCAGGCTGTGTCCCTTCAGACCAAAATACATGTTTCTGAGCATGTAAGAAGACAGCAAAAAAAGATGGTTAAGACAAAATTCTATCTTGTGTTTATAATTGGATTTAATCCCATGTATCACACAAAACATGTACTTTTCTTCTTATACTAAAAAGCCATAAAGCCCCATCACTAATTACTTAAGGAATTACTTAAGGAGTTGAAATAAGCAGCAGATTTGACTGGAGAACCCTTTGTTCTGTGTGCAATGCTGTATTCAGGAATCTGCCATGCATATATCTGGAACTGAGGGATCATGCCTAAAAAAAATGAAGCATCCTAGAAATCCTAGAAAGGCTGGATCTCAAAGCCATCCTTCTGTTCTGAAAGGATCAAAGACACTGCTTAGGTTGTGAGACGCCTTCCTGTCTGTGTCTCCACAATATGGATTTGCACTCTCTGTGGGCAATAGTCAGCACTTCTTTTTGTCTTTTACTGTACTGATTTCACTCCATTTCTCCAGATCTCTGGGAATTTTTATAATATCCTGCACAGATCACCATATCCGTGCCATTTTACAATTTTTATTATATGAAATATGATAGCTCCTTCAAATGTAAAATGCTGATCACTGCTTTTGAACCACAGCATTTCAAACTTCTGTGACTTCATCCTTTAACAATTTCAGCTGAATAACTATTTGTCTGCTTATGTGAATGTCAAGTGGAGATAATGTAAACTGCCTTATTAATGTCATGCACAATACTTCTATTTCCTCCTACTCTGTTTGGCCAGTTATCATGCCAAAAAACTAAATCTCATGGATTTGATCGGATTATTTCTGACAAATCTGTATCTGCTTTGCTTACATTCCTCTTTACCTCTGACTGTGTACAAAGCCAATCACTTAATAACTTACTCCAACATCACTTGAGGCAGGAAAGATGGGTAGGCTCCTAATACATAACATGCCAGAACCTCTTTTCTTCCCTTTTAACAGATTCCACTGTGTGTGAATTTTGATTACTTTTCTTTTTTTTTCCCCTAAACTGTAGGTTCACCAATTCTCTTTGCAATTTGTCGCTTGCTTATTTGTGGTGTGCTCTGGTGAAAATGTTACCAAATTCTGCAGATATGCATGACACACTTCAGCATTTTCTTTACAACATTACCTTAAGTGTCCTTTGATACCTTTGTCACTTTCTTTGTTTTGGCCTATGTTTCTTTTATCTTGATCATTTGAATTTTGTAGATCGTCTGGTCAGAATTAATCTTTCCTCTGCCCCAATGTCAGAAACTCATTTCAGCCTTCCCTCTGTTGAGATCTACCTGTTCACAGTTTTGTTTCTTTTATTCTGCTACTCTTACTTATACCTTCTGATGGAAACAGAGTATCTTTTATTTCATTAATATAAATTGCCTTTTACCATCAAAATTTCTATTCACAGCAGCTCCTCTGAGTTTTCACTGAGAGACCGCTCTATAAAGGTTTCCAGTCAATTGTAATGGGGAGTAATAATGCTTATTAGATATCAATTCTCTGTGTTTTCAGTATGTTTTTTTAAAAATTAAATTATTAAGGAATAAAATACCCTCTCTCAAATATCAGACAGTCTTTTTCATGATTTTTAGACAACCTGAAGGCAAAATAGCATTTTCTTCTAACACTTGTTGCTCTTACTCTTCTTTGTGAAAAGAAGAACAGGAGCTTGGATCTTGAACATAAATATTTTATATGTAAAGCTGTGTTTTGGGTGGGATCTTTCATGCTTTCGGGTGGACAGTGTGGAAGGGTCTGGCATTATATTTATTGGTTGTATGGCATTGTATGAACTAATATACTCCTTCTCAGGAAATACTAACACAAATATTCAGTATATCCAGCTGACCAAATCAAATCGAAGCCGTTTACAGGTAGCACGATAAGGTTGCAAGGGATTCACAGCTGAGAGGGCACTGCTGAAACTGCAGTGCAACAGTGCAAATGATCCAAAGCCAGTAAATTATCTATCAGTTATCTGGAATGTCAGGGTGAATGTTCTGCTGGCATGTAGGGAAGGGAAGGACAGAATTGACTACCTGTTAGCAAGGCAGAGCACACACTCGTTTCCATAGGTCTCTCCATCAGTGCCACAGACTGGATGGTAGTCCCTTGGACACATATACTTCCCATACTGGGAGCAGTCAGGCTGGGGAAGACAGGTACAAAAGAAGCCAAAGTTACACCATTTGAAACAGGTTTCTGCTCGGCTTCTGAAGAATCCTGGCATGCACAGAAAAAAGGTGTCTAATGGGAGCTGGCACAGCGTTTTGAAGTGCCACATTATCTTTCATGCTCTTGTGGGAATTTAGCACTTGAGGCTTGGCTCCTGCTGCCTGGCACGGCCTAGCTGTGGTGTCAGGACTTAGGTGTGCCCCACAGCGCAGCCCTTCCGCCCGCTGGGCATCAGCGGGACACACGGACAGCGAGTCCCCAGCAAGGGCAATGCAGACGGAGACGGTGAGGGATGGGCATCGCCAGGGCGTGTGTGCTGCGGAGCAGCAGCCTCCCGGGCGCCTCAGCTGTGGGAGAGACCCCTACTCAGCGCCGGGGCTCCGGAGCCAGGGCCGGCGCAGAGCCCAGCGCGGGGCCCGCGGCTCTGGGGAAGGGGCCGGGGCAGCGGCAGGCCTGGCTGGAGGCAGGGAGGGCAGCGGGGCAGGCGGCACTCACCGGGTAGCTGGCCATGGCTCCGGGACACGAGAGGAGCCCTGTGGAGAGCGAGCAGCGTTAACGGCGCCTGGTCCCTCACGGATCCCCCGAGCTCCGCGGGACCAGCCCCGGCTGTTACCGACCGCACGCTGCCCCGTCCCGGCACCCCTGGCCAGTCTCTGTCGGCTCCTGGGACACTCTCACCAGCCGCTGTCCGATCCCGCCATCCCCCGTCTAGCCGCTGTCCCGGTGCCGGCCCCGGCCATCTGCCGTCCGGCACCATCCTGTCCCGGTTCCCCGCCCTGCCTCCGGATGGCTGGTGCCCACCCCCGGCTTAGATTCCACCGCCGTGCCGCTGAGCCAGCCGGGGCACGGCACCGCTTCAGGTTTCCCCTTCCCTGGGACGGGACTGGCCGGGACACGGTACCAGCCCGTCTCCCACTTCCCGGCACCGGCTCCCCTCCCTCCCCGACCGCCGGCGCCCCGGCGCGGTGCGCGCGGTACCGGCGAGGAGGACGGGCAGCAGCAGCAGGAGCGCCAGCGACCGAGCCATGTCACCAACTGAGCGGCGGCGGCGGCGGCTCGGGGCGCAACGGCCGCGCAGAGCGGGAGCCAACGGGGGGCGCGGGGCGGAGCCGGTACGGGCGGGGCGCGGGGCGCGCTCGCGGCCGGGGTGACACTGCGGGACACGGGCTTGGGTGGTGGGGGAGCCTCCCCGGGAGCGCGCTCACGGGGATGAAAACTTTCCCGTCAGAGCGGTGTGGGTGGGCAGCGCAGTTAATGGCTGGGATTGCAGCGTGCCCCAGGCTTCCCTCAGCCCGTCAGGGTTGTGCTTTGGTCGCAGTGGCTTGGGCAGCGCAGGGAGGTTGGAAATACGCCGGCAGTGCCGCGCGGCTGTTAAGGTCAGAGCCCGCGTCTCGTCATAAAGTGACAGGAGATGGCTTCTGCTGAGCTGTGAGTGCGCTCCTAACGGAACGGGAAAACTTCCTCAGCAATAAAGCAGCCCGCCTGCCTCCAAGGAGAGTCCAGGGGGCTGGAAAGCTTTGGCACGCTGTCCTACCAGCATGGCTGGGAGTCTCGGCAGCACTCTTTCCAAAGAGTGTCTCATCTGTCAGTCATTGATAAGAGTGGTTAGCTTTGCAGGGCCCAGAGGTTGGCTTTGCACAGGGTCTGGCTTTGCAAATGTTTTCATACAGTTTCCCAAAATCTAGGGTGTGAACTTCTTGTAAAATGGCCTGTGCTTCTGTGTATGAGCTGGGGCTAGACCTGTCAAGTGTTTTGATATGTCCCACGCAGGTACGTACACAGGCATCACACACATCTTTCCTGTCTGTGTGTCAACCTCTGAGTCCTTTCTAGTATGGCTTTTTTTCTTTCTGACAGTGTGCCCTGCCTACATGGCATCATAGGCAGGTTATTTTATTATCTGCTTAATATGTTATTATTTCTCCAGGTAACCTCTGCAGTTTCAGATTTCCATTCCATGCACACCTTTGTGATTACTACCCAACACAAGGCATGTTTCATGCAAAGGCCTCTGCCTTGGCTGTTTTAAGCAAAAAGCCTAATCAGAACGTTTTGTGGCTGGTGAAGCATGCAGAGGGTTATTTCTCTCTGCCTGATCTCCTTCCCTAACTTTCCCAAATTTCTGTCCCAGCTTTGCCTGTTAAGCCATTTGTGATGAGGGTGTCTTTCTGTTGCCTTGTTATTGGTGGCTGGATTTGCCATCCTGGGGGGAAGGATTGTAAGGACTTAAATACAGGAGAGTTATGCTCTAAACAGTTAAATGCAAAGCTTGCAATTTCTTGCTCAGAAAAAAAGCCTGAACAACATGAACCAAGTAAAAGCTCAGTGTTCCACCTGTTGGTAGCCCAGACCAGCTTTCTTTCTTCTGAAAAACTCCTGCACAACAAGCAGAATATCTGCCCCCTAAAAAACATTCTCTACACTGATGTATTTTCCAACATATTTAATGTTCATTCCATGATCATCAATATGTGGCACTTGATCCCAAGTAAATGGCGTGAATGGGACCATTTGGGTAAACATCACTTCAGTTGCCTTTCTGTGACAGTAATATGAACTCAGTCACAGCCATGTGTTCTATCCTGGAGAAAATAGGGAAAAGTAAAATAAAGGTGCTCTATTGACTCTCAGTGTGACAGTCATATTTGAAACTGGTGCCAGTCTCCTCGATTCTGAAAGCATTTTGTTTCACTTATATTTTTCTACTGAGAGCATTTAATTCTGCCTTATTTAAATAAAATTTTAGATACAAGTCTTTAGAGAAGGGAAAATTGTAGAAATGAGATTTTAAACAGAAGAAAAGATAATTTACACAATTTTTCTTCTGGCAAGATTGAGTATTACAAGATACTAATTTTCTTTCATAAATTATTAAGAACTGGAGGCAAGGAAGAGTATAATTATGCAGAGAGCTTCTTAATAGCTTTTGTATTCTGTTAACACATTTCTGATGCAAATGCTGAGTCATTGGAAAGGAAAACTGCAGAATTATTTGCATATCTCCTAGAAGTTATCTTCTTGTTAAAATCAGGTAGCTGATTAACAAACATGAGAGACAATAATGAACCTAGCATATAGGCTGCAGGGAACAATGCATAATTAGAAGTTACATCCCTACAGAGAAGGTCTGTTTCTGTCTTATGCTCAGTGGAATAACCCTCTGTGCTTGGAAGCTAGAATTTATTTGAGCTTCAGTCAAACTTTTCTGGTGCTCCACAGCCTTGCTGCTGCCCCAGTGAGTGCTAGCCAGGCCTTTCTGAGATGTACCTGCTGCAAAGATTGGCACTGATTGTGACCACCTCCAGGTGGGGTCTTGTGAGAGTGGCATAGAGCAGGAAAATCACCTCCCTCGACCTGCTGGCCATTTGTCTTTTGTTGCAGCCCAGGATATGGTTGGATTTCTGGGCTGTAAGCGCACACTGACAAGACATGTCCAACTTTTCAACCACCAGCACCCCAAGTCCTTCTCCACAGGGCTGCACTTTATATCCATTCATCCCTATCTGATGCTCATTTTTACGTCTATTTGTGTCTATTTGTCTATTTGAGTCTATTTGTGAAAATCTGAACTTTCCCCACACTCTTGGTGTTTCTTGGAAATAAAATGTGTTGAAGACTTGTGGCCTTTGACATTTTTATCTTTGGGGATTTTCAGGACTCAGCTAGAAAAGATTATAATTTTGTTGATCTACTGTTGCCAGTAGTCCTGTTCCAAGTGTCAGGAGGGTAGAGACCCAAAGGTCCCTTTCCACCACCCTTCCCAGGGTTTAGGTGGCATGGCAGGTCAGAAATGAGCTATGAGACAGCAGATCTCAGCATAAAATTAGTTCACAATCTCAAAAAGAAAAAAAAAATCTACCTATCTATCACCTCACCTGCTTAAAACAGATACAGGAAGAAGTCCAGGTACCAGGAGGATTGGGACTAAGTAACTGGATTGCCTCTTCCTCTAGGATTCAGCAGTGTGGCATGAAATACCCTCTTTGCCACAGGTTGTGGTGGATGCTAAAGGTTTAGACTTGGAAGAAAAAAATAGAATTGCAAGGTAAGAAACCATAGGTGGCCTTAAAGACTGTGAAAATTCCCACTTGAGGAGGTTCCTGCAGGCTGCTGTAGGCAGGAAGGCAACACACAGGAAGTCTGGGTGTGCATTTGCTCCTGTTTTCTCTTGGCCATTGTTGATGGCCTCTTGGGGAGAAGAGGCTGGTGAGAGGGATGCTGTGGTCACACATAACTTGCAGTTAGTGTCCTCTGGCAGCCCCCAGTCACTTGCGGGAGGATGTTAAATCCACTGTAGCAGCACAACAGTGCAGCTGATGGGCCTGAGCTGCTGCAGGGGGTCTAGAAGGGCACAATGCTTGGGCACAATGCTTGGGCACAATGCTTGGGCATGTCCCAGCTGCACTTGTGCCATGTACATGTGAGGCTCCTGCCATAAGTACAAGAGCTTGTCTTTCCACATGAATAATTGCAGGGCCAAAACCAAGCAACATAACTCAGGACAATCAAGAGTGCTTCTGAGCTGCTTTTTGGCACAGCGATCTGGCATGGCACTGCTGAAAGCCTCTTTCCTAAGGCACTGGGGGGCTCCTGCCTCCCAGTGAGACTGGAATGCCCTAGAAATGGTTTGGCACTTGTTTACTGGCTGATTCTGCCAACTTGAACCTGCACAGCAGCAGGGCAGAGATGGATAGAGGGGATAGAACTGATTTTTCTAACATTTTAGTCTCCCTGACAAAAATTCCTGCAGGGAAGAAGTCAGCAGCACTGAGCAGACCAGTAGGCTTTTGGTGTAAGTCTGGGTTTGTTGTGTGTAGGGAATTGGTCTGAGTTGACAAGCTGTCTCCCTCACCAGGCCCTGACTGCTGAGCTGTGGCATCACCTCTAATTTTGATGGACCCTTCCAGGTTGTTTCCATAGAGGCTGGGTTCAAAGGTTCATAGAAAGAAGTGGAGGAAGCTCCTCATCTCATACACTCCCTCACCATCCTGTCAAGTGGCATTCCCACCTCCACACCACTAAGAGATTGCTCTGGGGGTCCTATCTGTCACACACAGCCCATGAATCATTCCTTTCAGTTGTGTTCCTACGTTTGCAATCCCACGTAGTCCCAAAGACAGGATCCAGGCCTCAGGGATTCAATTATTTACACTCCACTCAGTCTTTCCATCCTTGATCCCTCTGTGCCCATTCATTTTGCTCCATCATGTGCTGTTCTCCGCTGTATCAGTCACAGATGGGCAATTTATCCTCTCCTGTTTCCCACATGAATCCCATCTATCACCTGCCTGTCTTTGAAATTAATTTACTGGCTGGCCAGCTGCCCACTTTGCGTCTGTGGCTGCTTCCCCTCCATGTGCAATATGGGGGTGCTCACTGAAGGGGGGTGGCTGCAGGTGCTGCGGTGTTTCGTGCCCTAAGGAACATTGCTGACCTGTGGGAAGTGCTTTAGGACAGGACTGCTTTGTGTGCTGTGGGACAGTGGGGAAGGGGCTGCAGGAGGAAATTCCCGGATCTGCTCATGGTCTCAGTCACTGTCACAGCACAAAGCAGCAGCCTTGTGCCTGCCAAAGAGATGTGTGTGTATTGCTGTGATGCTCAGGCTTGAACAAGGACTTTAGGAGTCCCTGGAGCCTTCAGAAAGCTCCTGAAGGGTGTCCTGATGGCAGAAAGCAACGTAGCTTTCTTTTTTCTCTCTCCTCCAGAAGTGCTTTCCTGCTGTTGTTTTCAGCTCAGTTAAGCACATCTGTCCACTTGATCTGTCACAGACAGGTTTACAGGTGCTGGCTTTGACTTCTGCTCTCTGTGTGCTAGTTCAAATGACTCATGGCAGAGTTGGGCCACCATCCTGCTGAAGGGGACATACTTTGTCTTATTGATTTGCCTGGGATCATAACCCCTTTGGAGGGAGGTGGCTGGTCCCAGGGGCATTTCTTATGTCAAAAAATTTTCTCAAAGAGCAGAAACTTTCAAGACAGCTGCTTCTAACTGCTTAAGCTGTTAAAGGAGACAAGGTTAAGGGAGCCT